GCGTCACCACGCCGGGGGACCATTGTAGACCAGACGGTACAAACCAGACCTAGCCACGGGCGTAGTCCCTCCCCCGCACGGAACAGCGATATAAATGTCCACACGTTGCTGCACTCTAGTGGTCCCTGATGATGAACTCCAGTTCGAGTTCGAAAGCTAACGCCAATAAATCTATTGTCCCAATGATAATGCCTTCGTCTTTTTCTAAACAAGAACCCGGGATGCACATATTCTCTTCCATTCGCAAGCATAATCTTACACTGCGTACCATTCCGAATCACATGTCTGCTATTGAGGGTGCACATTTGTTTCTACAAAGTTGTGGCTTGGATTTCAGTGTCGCGCCAGCTAAACGATTGCGTTCACTCAGCCGTGATGCGCCGATGCTAGTTACTCTCGTCTCCTTGATAGAAGTTGACTTTATCTTGTCGATGGAGGAGATAACTATATAATTCTGCCGGACCTCACGCCTGTGCAGAGAGGACTAAACAATTTGAAAATGTCGAAAACCAACACCGATATAACGACACCTGTTGTCATGGTGAATAAGCCTTCTTCGACAGCATCCGTGGTTCCATCATTTCATGATATAGATAGATAGATAAATAGATAATTTTTTTATTAAAGACCCGTCGGGGTCCCATCAAAGCAAGTAAAATATATTTACATGCGACTTTTAGACGAGGTAGGCAGAATCTTTACAAAATGCAATTCATAGTTTCCGAATTAGTAATCCATTGAGAAAAATGATTAGTGAGGGATGAAAAATAAACTCCATACAAAAATTTAAAAATGATTGGATTAATTTTACAGGAGAAAAAAAACCCTCAATAAAATAAAGACAGAAAAATGCGGGCAGGATCGGCCTGTAGGTGACGATACATAGCGGATTATAGTCGGACATCGTCAGCCTTGAGGGGTATGTATGCGGGTCAGACAGGACTGGCCTGCATGTGGTATTGTATACGTCGGGATTGATACGCCGCATGAGACTATTCGCGTCCAAAAAACCAGACAAGAGGAACCCAGACGCGATCGCCCACAGCACGCTTCGAGCTCAGCTGAGGAGTGGGGAAGGGAGGTACGACCAAACTACTAGTAGACGGTGAATACTGCGGGGTCCGCCGTGAGCGTCCACTGACCGCATAAGGTCGGAATGTGGGAGATGACATCAAAAACCGCGAAAATTGTCGCTATGTGGGGAGGAGTGATAGCAGTGTATTTAGAAACCAATTCAAAACAGGGGTTTCACTAAATCCCAGGAGGACCCTTCTCGAAGTCAAGAATCTGGGTGTTCGGGAATGAGACCGTTAACAGTGCCTTTATGCTTTCCGGTGTAAGATGTTTGCGTAATTTTGACTTGAATACCAGTAACTTAGGCAATAATCTAATTTCAGGCGGAAGATTATTCCAAAGGAAGGCATATTTGGAAGCAAAGAAGAGGGAGCGCTTAGAGGTAGTACAAAGAGGCGGCGGAATCACCATGCAGGAGTTGCGCGTGGCATAAGACCGATCTCTCGGAGTGAGAGTATCAATGAGCGGAAGACTGGAGCTAGAGTTGATATGAAAAATGAAGCAAAGGCCAGTTTCGAGCCTTCTTACCCACAAAAACTTAATGTTCGCCAGCTGACATCTCTGAGTATAAGAAATACCGGACGAAGCTTGAGAGAACAGTTTCCGGGTGAAAACCCTCTGAGCATTTTCGATTTTATTACGGTCGCAGGCGTTCATTAAACCGAAGAAAGGACAGCAGTATTCGAGAACTGGAAGAACAAACATTCGATAAAGTCTTAGCTTAATTTCCGGAAGGAAAAAATTATGCTATATGAATCCACATATCTGCGCGTCTTTGGTAGAGATTCTATCTGCATAAGGTGATAAAGCTAGCTTATTTGTATAACTTAGACCTAGGTCCTTTATGATGAGGCATTCTGAGAATGGCTTATTCTGAAACATTATGGGACCAGGAAGTTTGGCAGGACCAAAGGACATGAAACTACACTTGGATGCTGAAAACTCCATCTGCAATGTCGAACCACATCTGCTTAAGCGTAGTAAATCGGCATTACTTTTTCTCAACACTAACCTTTGCGATGTCCTTAGAGTATGAGTCAACACACTTGAAGTCATCGGCATACGTAAAACTTGCGAATTACCGAGATCCGTCAAAATATCATTTATGTGCAGAAGGAAGAGTAGCCTACGCAGAAGAGTGCCTTGGAATGCGCCAATCGTGATCGAGCGAGGTGTCGAGTGGAAATTACCGACCATGAACATAACGGCGAATATGGCCTCCTTGACGGCGAGAATCCGTCGCGACGTCTCCGTAGAAGAGTCGTTTGGGTAGTCGCTCGTCGTCCATGCGCACCAGGTGGCCGCTCCAGCGCAGATGAATTTGCCTCAGTATGGCGTAAATGCTGAGGATTCCCG